GAGCCCCCAAGAGGAGGAGGTGGAGCAGGAGGAGGAGAAGGAAGAGGAGAAACAGGAGCAGGAGCAGGAGGAGGAGGAGCAGGAGGAGGAGGAGGAGGAGCAGGAACAGGAACAGGAGCAGGAGCAGGAGGAGGAGGAGGAGTCTGGGGGATCCTCGTCGCCACTGTTTCCCGCAGACAGACCGAACTGAAACCCAAGAGGCATCCTGCCCCTCACTGGGCGGCCACGTGCGGCTCCCTTCTCGTTCAGAAGTTGGCCCCCCACAACGACGCTGCCCCCCTCCGTCTTCCTCTTCTTCCTGGCCAGCGTCGGTGGTGCACAGAAGAGAAGGGGGGGGGGGGGCGCGAGGTGGGCAGCCTTCTACGAAGGCAAGCGAAGGCCTCTACGAAGACCTTTGAGAAAGTGGGAGGGCCTCCAATATCGAGGCGTCAACCGACCACCTCGCCGATCCTGGCCGAGCCCATCCCGGGCCAGCGACCAGTGTGTACGCCCTCCTGGCTCGGCCAAAGACGCAAACGAACCGATCCTTAACTCGAGATGGGCCCAACCAAGATCTGGTGAATAGGTCAACCGACATCAACAGACATCTGGAGGTTTTTTGTGTTACTGAGAACGCAAAAAAGGCTCCAGGAGTCCCGAACCCTCTCCGAAGGGTAGCTTTCGTCCTGTGCCAATGTCTTATTGTCCCGGGGCCCGATAGCGGGCCCCAGAAGCCGGAGACGCAGCAAAACGCTGCAGATCAGCTCGTTCGACGCGGAGATCACCACATGCGCAGCTCGTTCCCTGGAGTGTCCCGCTGTGGGCGTCTGTGGGTGAGAGTCTCGGCCTGTGCCGACAGGGTGCTCTCGGGCCCCCAGAAGCCGGAGACGCGGCAAAACGCTGCAGCTCAGATCATCCGACGCGGGGATCACCACATGGGCATCTCGTGTCCTGGAGTGTCCCGCTGTGGGCGTCTGCGGGTGAGGAGTCTCGGCCTGTGCCGACAGGGCATTCCCCGGCGGCTCCCTCTCGGGGCGACCAAGTGGCATGCCTGCCACATCACAGCGATCACGGGGCTCTGAGTGAAAGTGAGCATCACCCAGATATGCGCAAACATGACCAAAAACACTCCCAAACATCCTCCCCGACTATTTTCTGACTGCTTTTGAATATTCCTCTTAGAGGGACTTGCCCGAGACTATTTTTGACGATTTTTGTAGACTACGATTTGGCAACTTTTGAATATTTGTTGTAGAGAATTCCTCTTCAACAGCTCAAAAATCCTCCCCAGATTATTGTTGACTGCTTTTGTAGAGGGACGTGCCCGACTCAAAGTCAGCATGCTGGGTCGAAGGTGCCCAGACCACGTCGAGACGCCCCACGCACTCCGGCCGCGAACGGGCAAGAGGAACACCCCTCTGGGGGCCCCCTTCTTGGGGTGCCCAAGTGCGATGCGTGGAGTGTCCGCGTCTGAACGAGGAGGATCTCCTCCTCCTCCTCCTCCTCCTCCATCTCCTGCTCCTCCTCCTCCTCCATCTCCTGCTCCTGCTCCTCCTGCTCCTCCTGCTGCTGCTCCTCCTCCTCCTCCTCCTCCTCCTCCGTCTCCTGCTCCCCCTCCCCCTCCTCCATCTCCTGCTCCTCCTCCTCCTCCTCCTCCTCCTCCTCCTGCTCCTCCTCCTCCTCCTCCTCCTCCTCCTCCTCCTCCTCCTCAACAGGGACTACCGCCAGAACCCGCGGGCGGTGCCGACGACTGGGCGGTGGCACGCCCGAGAGGCGCCCTGTGCTGGGTGACGCTCGCTGAGTGGGTCCGAGTGTGTGGGCAGTTGAGTCCGAACGCCAGTCGATCTGAGTGCGTGTGGTCTGAGTGTGAGTTTTTTTTTCTCATACTCGGCCTTATACTCGGCCCGCAACGGGATAAGGCCTCATACTCGGCCTTATCCCGTTGCGGAGTCGGCTCTTCTAGAGGTGGCTGTAGCTGGGTAGTGCAGCACGCCTAGTAGCAGGCTGTGCGGCTCAACGCCGGGTCTGAGTGTGAGTTTTTGATGTGGGTGGGTCTGAGTGTGAGAGAGCCTGGCTGTGAATGCTCAATCTGGGAGTGGTGCGTGCATGAGTCGGAATCTGACTGAGCGGAGTCTGCGTGGATCTGAGTGCGGGCAGGGGAAAGCAGGCGGGAAGGATTGCGGAGGAAGGAAGGCGGGGTGGGGACGCCAAACGAGTGAACCGCTCGAGGCATCCCTTCAATCTGGCCGCGCACGTGCAAGTGTCGCCCTCCCTGGCGGCCTAAGTGCCATGCCAGCTGTGTCGGGGTGGGCATGAGGCCCTCGAGGCAGAAGAGTCTGAGCCGTCAAACGAGGGATCCGTTGGAGGCATTCTCGCAACCCGGCCGCGATCGGGCAGGTGCCCCCCTCCGTGGCGGCTCCTGTGTTGGGGTGCCGAACGTGCCACGCCAGCTGCATCGCGGTGAGCACGAGGCCCTCGAAGGGAAATGGTCTGCGCAAGCAAGCAAACTGACCGCTCGAGGCATCCCCCTCAAGCGGTCCGCACACGGGCAGACGTCCCCCTCCCTGGCGGCGCCTCCTCGGGGCGCCCAGCACGCCTTCCCACGTCCCACGTCGCGGCGACGAGCTCGCATAGAGAGTCAAACGCGCCGAAGAAGACGAGCCGCTAGAAAAAAACATCCCCCCAATCTATTGGTGATAAAGGGGCCCAGGATGCACTCCTGGTGGCTCTCCCTTGGGGTGCCCAAGAGCTACGCCTGATAGATCGTGACCTTAGAGAGAGAGAGAGAGAGAGAGAGAGAGAGAACAACAACACAAAACAAACTAATACGCAACAAAACAAACACACCAACACAACATAAAACAACACAAACCAACCAACAACAATAACACCACCAACAACAACACCAACAACAACAACCACAACAACAACAATCACAACAACAGCAACAACAGCAACAACAACAACAACAGCAACAACCACAACAGCAACAGCAACAACAACGACAACGTGCAGGGCGACGAAACAGGCGAAACGCCTGAGACATACCCACAATGTGGGCGGGCCTGGGGACATTAAACGACGAGTTGCGGCTCCCACGTAGAATCCCCAAATGCTATGCCTGCTTCAGTTCGGTGATTACGGGTGAGGTTGAGTCTAAGGAGCGAGTATGCTATGAGTGACACAATGCGGATCGGCCTGAGTGTGAGTCTGAGTATGCATGAGTCTGGATGTGAATGATCATACTGTGAGTCGCTTGTGTATGAGTCTGAGTATGCCTTGACTGAGTCTGAGCGGAACTGAGTGACAAGGGCCTGTGTACTAGTGAATCTGAGTATGAACGAGGGGGAGGAGGCGGGAGAGAAGGAGCCGGAAGCGTCACACTACTGACAAGAACACCGCACCTGGTAGATGAGGAACATCAGATCGTCGGATATCTGAGTCCCCCGACAAGTCCCCTATGCATTCCTGGACAACCACCACTCTCGCCCAGCAGGCCACGGTACAGCCCAGCACCCGCCCAGTATAGTTTGAATACGGCCCCAAACTCCCCCGAGACTGCCCAAGACATAGCCAAGACGGCCCCACGGCACTCCCATACAAGAAAAGCTCTAGGACACCATGGTTGCATGAGCCCCCAAGACGGTCCCAGACTCCCTGAAGCTTCAAAAGGTCTTCCAAAACCCAAGACAAAACTATCCAGGCTCCCAAAGAGGCGACGCAACAGCCACGCAGAGCCAAACCTTGCCACAACTCGGCGGGCATGCGCGGCAACGCATCCGAATAGCTCTCTGCCAGAGCCCCCATTTGGTGCGCGTCCGTATTTCAATTAGGCGAGATGGCTGAAGATGGAGCTCGATGCACCCAGCAAAGAATAAACAGCATGGACCAGTGAAGTCTCACAGTCTCTGGCAATTCGCTCTGACGCCTCACTGCGATCGCCTCGTGTGCCGCTCGAGCGCAGCCTCACTAAAGCCGCGAAGAGGGTCGCACACACCTGGAGGCGCAGCAGCGGCGAGCACGCACGGGCCCGCAGAAGGCGTGTGCGCCAGGCGGCCGTCAGCCGCCCCGGCACGCGCACTCTCTGAGCGTGGGCCACGAGAACGGGACGCCGAAGATGCCGCACACCTGGTGGACGGCAGCGTCCTCTACGCTGCCCACCTCCCGCCCGGGCCACGCCTCGTCCTGGATCAAAACCCTCTCGGGCCAGGCGCAGCTGCCTGCGCCATCGCCCAGGCCTGCCGCGTGCCTCTCGAGCTCCTCCAGCGAGGCCTCGGACGCCAGGAGGAGCAACTCCTCGGGGTCGCTGACCGCGCCCGTGCTGGCCCTCGTGCTGGCCACCTCGGTGGCACTCCAGCTCACCTTTGGCTGCGGCATGGGTCTAGAGGAGCGAAAAGCCGCGCAAACATACGTTTTTGGAGGTCCGCGCGGATCTCTGGGATCCGCGCTGGACCCCCCTGCCTGGCGCGCGGAGCGCGCCAGGGGCGGCGCCGCAGGCGCCGCCGGGGGGCCCAGCGCGGATCAAAGAAATCCGCGCGGAGCGCCAGACGTTTATGTTTGTGCGGTGTTCCTCCTCCGAGGGTCAGAAGAAGAAACAGCTGGCGCAGACATGGACTCTCGGAGCTTCGCGCGGTTTTTCCCAGGGCCCCCTCCACACACACCCCTCCCTGGCGCGCTAGGGGCGGCGCCGCCAAGGGCCCCCAGACATGCAGCCTACCACTCTTTCGATCCGAGGCCCCTGCAAGTCCCGTTCTCCCCAAGACCGGTTTTTTCATCACGGATCGCTGTTTGACGGTCCTGGGGCCCGGCGGGGGCCCCACGAGGCCGAAAACGCCCCCCCCCCCCCCCCCCCCCCCACACACACCCCTTCTTGGCTGGTGGGGACACGAGCATGCCTGGGCCCAGCGCGCCTCTGAGAAAGGCTGCGCGGAGCTCCGAAAGCCTTTGCTCGTGCCGCTGTGTCCTCTCCGGCTGGTGGGCGCTCCCGCCCCCGCGGGCTCCCGCTCCTCCCCGGACAGGGCCTCGGGCGGCAGGGTCGCAAGGCGCGCGACGGCCCTGCACAGCTGGCGCCTCGTCTCCACGAGCACCCGCCGATAGCCCACGAGGACCCCCGCGCGGCTCTGCTCCGACGGGGGGCCCGCCGACCTGGCCTCCAGCACGGCCTCCAGGCTGGCCGCCTGCCGGCGCAGGAGCGAGACCTCCGCCTCCAGGACCTGGCGCTCGGAGGCCGCCTGCACGTACTCGGGCTTCGCGGGGTCGTAGTCCTCTACGCAGAAGGCATCTATACACCACCACCGTGCCAGGCCAGGGCCATCCTGGGCCCTGGGATGGTGTATACGCCATCCTGGCCGAGGCCAGGAGGGTCTATACACCATCCTGGGGCCCAGGACGGCCCTGGCCTGGCACGGTGGTGGTGTGTAGATGCCTTCGTCGTAGTCCTCCGTCACGGGGCCCCTGGCCGGGCCGGCGGCGTCCACGCGGACCTCGCACGCCGCCGCCCGCCGCTGCGGCGCGGCCCCGGCGCAGCACGCCCCTGGGAGGCCGCAGCCCCCGAGCAGGCCCGCGCACTCGAAGGGCTCGCCCCGGCGCGGCGCGGGCACGGGCTGCTGCGCCGCCTCCGGGGGCCCGCTGCAGGGCGCCTCCGGGCTCTGCTCGCGACGGGTCCCCTCGTCGTCGTGGTGCAGCACCTGCGCGTCCTGCAGCTCGCCCTGGCGCTCCTGTCGTCCGCCCTCGGCGAGACGGGGCGGGGTCGAGCAAGCCTTCGGTTGCGCTGGCTGGCCCTCGGTGTGCGCGGCGGAGGGGGCAGCTTCGGCGCCTTCGAAGGTCCAGCGCCTGTCAGGCGCTGCCCCCATCACTGGCGTCCGCAACCTGTTTAGAGCAAGTCCCGAGCAACCGAATACAGGGCCATGATGCCTTTGAGCCAGCCTGGCTAGGGAAAGAAATTCGAGCACGTTGGACGGGCCTGGCTTCGGCCTCGCATCGGCTTTGCGACTTTCTTCCTCGCCTCCGCCGTTCCACCCCACGAGGCACGCAAGAAAACGCTGCCTTCTGACCAAGTAAGCCTTGACTTCCTGGGTCGATCAGGGCATCGACCAGCGGTGGGGGACACCAGCTGAATGGGACGGGGTAGGTCCTCTGAGGGGCAGGTACAGTTCTTGGAAGGCGGCGCGGTGATCTAGCGCCCGGACGGAGCATTCCTTGGAGGACCCGCCGTCTGGCATGGTGTTGATCAATGACATCGCGCCCAATTCAGATATCGAAACATATTTGCGCAGTAAGGGCCACAAGACGACTCGCCTCCCGGGCCAAACGGCCAGCTCAAATCGGGCGTAGCCCCGTAGAAACTGCCAGGGGCGGAGCTACCCATGGGTTGCGGCACGGGTGGTGTCAGCCGTGGGCTGCGCCAAAGGTTGCGCCATCCATCGGATGCGCGATAATGAAGGGGCCCCAGGACACACACATAAATACACACAAATAAAACTATTCCCCATATTTTCCCATATTTTCTGGGTTTTTGTCTTCCCCCCCCACTTCCCATATTTGCCCATACTTTCTGAGGAATCGACGATTAATTGTGTCTGTGTGTTTTTTCTCCTCCTGAGATAACTTGCGCAGTGGGTTGTTGCGCCGTAGACTGCGCCATGGGTTGCGCTATCGGTTGCGCCATTCCTGGGCTGCACCACCAAGTGCGGCATCCACGGATTGCGCCACAGCTTGCTCCCACAGGCTGCGCCACGAATTGCGCCGTAGCTTGCCCCACGGGCTTCTTCGTCCCTGGGATGCGCCATGCAAGTTGCGCACGCCACTGCCGAACCTACAAAAACCTGCTGGTGGTGGCGCTGCAAATTGCGACATCGGCTCCTGGAACTGTAGCGACCTCCTGTTGGCTGTGTCACTGGTCGAGCCCTCGTCGGCCGAACGTAGAACTGCCTCCTATCGATTGCGCCGTCAATTACGACCTCGGCAGAAGGACATACAACTGCCAGTCAATTGTTGTGCTACGGGTTGCGCGCTCTGCGGCCGAGCACGTATCAATCTGCGGCTGCTGTCGCCACAACTCGTGTGGTCGGTGGAACCGTCCTGCTATGAGCTGGGCTGCGCCCACGGCGGCAGAACACGAAACGGCCTGCCACTGGGAGGGCCACTGGCTGCCCCCTCGGCGACCGAACACAACACGGCCTGCTTGGAGTTGCGCCAAAGTGGCGGACTCGGCGGCCGCACCCGAAACTGCCAGCCGATGGCTGCGCCATAGGCTGAGCATTCGGCGGCCGAACTTCCAATGAGCTTTCGGCGGCCGAACTTGAAGTGGTCTGGTAAGGGGGGGCGCCGTGGGATGCGCCCTTCGCGGCCACGAATCGAGCTGCCTGCTCCAGATTGTGCCATCGGCTGCGCACTCGATGGCCGAATCTGAATCGGTCGGTTCGTCCAAGGGGCGGTGGGTATAGATAGATTCAAGCCCCAGGGAGGCCCAATATGTCCATATCCACCGCTTCCCGAGGTCTAGGAAGATCGGTTTCCCAGGCAACCTGTATGGGTACGCAATCCCGAAATCAAGCGCACATTTTATCTGCTAGTCCGTTAGTCAAGGTTGATTGAGGCCGCGCGGCGCCTGCTGGAGCTCCAACTGCACATCGTGGCCATCGAGCTCCCATATGCACTCGGCCACGTCCTCAAGCGTTGCACGCGGCGCATCCCTCGCGTGGGTGCGGGAGCGGAAGTTCCAGCGAGCAATGGCGTGGAAAGCCGCTCGTGAACGACAACATCGAGCACATTTATAAACGGCAGGAAGTCGAAGGTCGTTACCGCCCACCGCACGTGAGAAGTACGAGAAGTGCCGTGCGCCGAAATTAACGCCCGATGGGCAGACATTGCGTTCACCATGAATTTCGACATGCTGTGCAGCGTCCGCCTTCGGAAAGTCGCCTCGGTAGTCCAGACGCCTGCCCTTGTTGTAGCATGTGGGGGAGGTGATTACACTGCACAACATTGACACACAGTTACAGTCGCACATGCACGAAAGCATACATCTACACTTGCGTATGGATATTATCACGCACTCACGTATTCCACACTTCCACTAGAACCATCGCACGCGCTTCGCGCGCGCGCGCCATCAAATGAACTATGTACTGGAGCCTGGCGTGGAGCGGGCTGGGCGCAAATGATCGGGGATCATCGGCTTCGATCGATGCCAGCGCGTTTGATGGGCGGCACGGTGTGGCTTAGTGTGCGGGCTGGGGAGTGCGGCGCGCAAGCAAAGAACATGACACATGCACGTATTTCAAGATTTCCCCCCCCACCCCCCACTGCCAGGAATAGGGCAGGAGAGGGGGATAACAGAGGCGTCCAGGAGCCAGTGCACGGTGGGAGGGGGGCAGGAAGGAGGAATAGACGGCAAGAGGGAGGAGGAAGAGGAAACACCGAAGGTATCGTAACGCTCGGCGGGTCAGAGGAAACCGTGAAAAGAGATGATACAGACGATGACGAAATGATGAGGATGATGAACATGATGATGGTGATGTTGGTGGTGATGGTGATGGAGCTGGTGATGATGATGATGATGATGATGATGATGATGCTGATGCTGATGATGATGATGATGATGATGATGATGATGATGATGATGATACTGATGCTGTTGATGATGATGATGATGATTCTGATGATGATGCTGATGCTGATGAGTGCCAAGGTTGAGGAGGATGGGGAGGAGGAGGAGGATGGGAGAGGGAGGATCAATGAGAGTTCGCAGGTGGAGGTATCCTCCTCCTCCTCCTCCTCCTCCTCTTCCTCCTCCTCCTTCTCCCCACCATCATCATCATCATCATCATCATCATCATCATCATCATCACCACCACCACCACCATCATCATCATCATCATCATCATCATCATCATCATCATCAGCATCAGCACCAGCATCATCATCATCACCATCATCATCCACATTCTCCAGCGTCGCGCGCTTGGCTCTCGAGGAGCGCTTGTGCACCATGTCGGGTCTGTCTTGAGGGGTGCATGAAAAAGCGGGGACACCAGGCCGTCTAGAGCGGTCAGAGACAAACAATACACAGAGGAACAAATGCTGCGGAAAGGAAGAGAGGGGGCGAGGGAAACAGGCAAGAGGGAGAAGGGGCTCGGAGTGCGCAAGGGGCGAATATGAAAAGAGAAAACGTATTGAAGCTCTGGCGAGCCACCGCTGCCCCTGCCTCGTTGAACATGACACTTGTGCCCGAGAGTCGATGTGCGGGACGGCGTCGCTCGACGCGTTTCGGCTCCCTCCTCGGGGTGGTTCCCTGGATCGCCGCGAGGTGACGGCGCGGCGCCACAGCGCGGCGCAGTGGCGGGGCGCTTCTTCTCCGGAGCGCCGCAGGGAATGATGCGTGGGATGTCCCCTCCTCGCGGAGCAGTGGCCGTCCGAACGACCACCCGGCTGCCAGGCGCCACTGGCCCTACCCGTCGGAGGCAGGGGCGTGGCCCCGAGCCGAAGCCGTCCTGAGCCTAGAGCGCCCCGCGGGCCCTTGAGATGCTTGTCGGCCAGCGCCGACCACGGCGCTGGCTGGCAGAGGAAGAGAACTCTCGGCCAAGCGGCCGGGCAGCCGCCACAACCTGCGCCAGATCGGCGCCCGGTCAGGTCTGCAGCCTGGCGGCCTACTAGCCCCACCTCACAAACTTCCGACACAGAGAAGGCGCCCCCCCTCCCCCCCCCCCATATGTGCCGACTTTCCCCTGCCCGCGCATCCCGGGGGTCCCACCATCCAGTGGGTAAGGAATCGAACTGGGGGCAGACAAGGCGAAAAACTGGACGAAGGGAGGAATTCGCTGCATACCTTTTTTTTTCCGCCGAAAATCTGGAGTTTCAGTTTGCGCCCGTGGCCCCCGAGTTCCAACAACAACGGCTCCCGCCTGATACTTCCCCATAGTGTATTGAAACATTGCGCTCTCGCGCGGGACTTCCGTACAAGTTATGCAAACATCGCGCTCTCGCATGGGACTTCCTCGCAATTTATTCACACGTCGCGCCCTCGACACTCAGGAATCACGCTCTCGCTGTGGATTGTCCTGACGATTTACTTGGGAGTCGAGCTATCGATTGAGCTTTTCTCGCGATTCACGCAGGACGCACGCTTCAGCAACCCGCCTGCTCGACCTGGCCACTGGGCCTGCCTTCCCGACTCGCCCGTTAGTGTCTACCCGCCCGATCAGCCCGTCTGGTTCTGCCACGTGATTTCTGCTCCTAGCCCCCTTCCTGTTACTCTCCCGTGCTCCATCGTCCTCCCTCCCCAATTGTCCTTCCTTCCATCTCCGTCCTCTCCTCCACTGCCTTAGGGGCTGCACGAAATACACGTTGCAAGTAAAAAAGATATATCCCTAACAACGAAGACCAAAAGTCTGGTATCGAGGGTCTGGGATATAAGTGATGCATCGCAATCGAACAAATCAGAGCGAACAGTCTGAAACAGGTTGCTAGCATTATTGCTGTTTTTGTTGTTGGTGTTGTTGGTGTCGTCGTCGTCGTCGTCGTTGTTGTGGTTGTTGTTGTTGCTGCTGTTGTTGTTGGTAAAGTCTCATTGCTAACGATAAGTGTTGTTGTCTCCCCTGCGGTAGCAATTGCATGTGCTTTGTCAAAATGCTTCTCCTGGGGCTCGCATTCTGTTTTTGTGTTTATACAGAAATGGAAAATGACGTGGCACCAAACGGTGCCCCTGGCCCCCAGTTTTTAACAACAACAACAACAGGACAATCAACAATGACTGTTTGCTCTTATTTGCTCGCGTGCCACTAAATACGCATATCCCAAACCCTGGATACCCGCCCTCTTCGTCTTCGATCGCGCCCCCTTTCGGGGAGTATATCCATTCCCTGCCACGCGTGGTTTGTGAAACCCTTGAAAACAAAGGGCCACCGATAACGGGGGGGGAATGTGGGCGAAGGGTTCGGAAGAAGAGAGGGGGGGGGGGGCCAGAAGGAGGGGGGGCGACGATTTGCGCTGCGAGTGGCGATTCAGCTTGCGCCATGGCTTGCGCCATCCACTCCAACGCGGGTTGACAATAACTTTCGCCATAGGTCGCGCCATAAAAGGCGCCGCTCACCACCCCATTGAAAGGGCAGATCGTGAATACCTCCGCGGGGGGACGTACAGCTGCGAACTGGTGTCAGAAACAAATTTCGTGGAACCCTGCAGGGAAGCGGGATGTCGGGAGAGTGGGGCGGAAGGGCACTGAAAACTGCAGCCGCGTCGAGAGGGGCACGGGACGTGGAGTGGATTGGGATGGAATGGACAAGGGGAAGGCATCAGGAGGTGGGGCGGCAAGGAGTGGGGAAGAGGAACCGGTAGGAGTGCGGAGGAGCGGGGGGCGCACGGAGAATCTGGAGGAGGGGCCAGGAATAATTTTGGAGAAATGCGGACTGATGGGGCGGCCCGGGGAGGGGTGGGCGGAGTGCGAAAAACTGAGGAATAGCATAATGGAGTACGAACGAAATGACAATGGAGATAAAGGGAAAGAGTAAAGAAGACTGGGGAAGAACGTTGAAAAATACGGGCAGGTGGATGCGAGCGGAGACTGCTTCGGAAACCAAGCGCGGGGGGATTGGAAGGCACCCGAGAGCCTCCCATGACCTCTGGGGGGCCTCGGAATGGCCCCGATGACCAGCGAGCAGTTCCGGAGGCCCTGAAAACCTGCTGGAACGCCCCTGGGGCCCCGTCGAGGGCGGCCTTCATTTGAAGCCCGCAGTGAAACCTGGGCCAATGGAGCACGCGCGTCTCATAGGCCGGCGCACCGGGCCCCGGCAAACGGCGGACCGTCGGCCTGGCCAATGGCAACGCTGGCGATGCACGCGCCGACCCGCGGCAACCCGACCCCAAGATGGACAGACAGCGGGCCCACCGCGACGACGACGACCACGACGAGAGGAGGAAGAGGAGGGAGGAGGAGGAGGATGGGGAGGAGGAGGGGGAGGAGGAGGAGGAGGGGAGGAGGAGGAGGAGGAGGAGGAGGAGAGGAAGGGAGGAGGAGGGGAGGAGGAGGAGGAGAGGAGGAGGAGGGAGGAGGAGGAGGAGGGAGGAGGAGAGGAGGAGGAAGAGGAGGAAGAAAAGGAGGAGGAGGAGGAAGAGGAGGAGGAAGGGAGGGAAGGAGGGAAGGGGGGAGGAAGGGAGGAGGGAGAGGGAGGAGGGCGGGGGCTGAAGGGCCGACAGGCTGGCCCTCGGCAGGCGGCGAGGCAGTCGCACGGATTATCGGCCTGGCTGGTTGAAGGGTCGGAGTGCCGGGCTCCAGGCGGCAGGCGGGCCCCAAGGGGGGCGGCCAGGGATGACGACGACGACGACGACAATGACGCTAAGGGGGGGGAGGGGAGGAGGGGGCAGGGAGGGACGGAGGGACGGGAGGGGCAGCTGCGAAAGGAGAGAAAGAAGACAGAAAGAGAGAGAACGCGATTCTTCAATAAACTGTGAGGAAGTATCAAGCGGGAACCGCGATCCGGTGGTAACTTGCAAGGAAATCCCAAGCGAGAACGCGATTCTTCAAAAACGTGTGAGGAAATATCTGGCGGTAGCCGTTTATTTTTTTTGTAAACCGGGGGCCGACGACGCAGCTTGATCCTCAAGATTTCCCCTGATAAAAAAAACAGGGTGAGAGCCCCGGGAAGGGCACTTCAATCGAAAGGAACAATG